TTACTTTACTTCTAGCTTATTTATTTAACAACCTTACTGTGTTGCATTGACACACATCCAAGTTCCACTCGTGATGTACCATCATATACCACATAACCCCCTATACCATTAGGTAAGCTTAACACTGTAGTTGTAGTAAACAAAGCCTTGAGCTTCTGGAAGCTCTCCTCACAAGCTTCTAACTAAGTGAACTTTACACCATCATAGAAGCTGCAATCTTAGAGAAATCCTTAACAAATCTCTTATAGTATTCAGCCAAACTTAGAATGCTCCTTATCTTAGTCACCAAAGAAGGCTTTAGACATTTCTCCACTACCTTAATATTCTTTAAGTCCACCTTCATACCTTCCTTCAATACTATATGGCCCAACAAGGTAACATTGTCTAACCAAAGTTCACATTTGAAGAACTTGGCATATAATTTATGCTCTCTCAAAGTTTAAAGCACTATCCTCAAATGCTACTCATGCTCTTTTCGACTCCTTGAGTAGACCAATATATCATAAATAAAGATTACCACAAACTTATCCAAATACAGTTTCAACACTTGATTCATCATGTCCATGAAAACAAGTAAGACATTTGTAAGCCCAAATGGCGTAACCAAGAATTCATAATGACCATGCCTAGTATGAAAGGCAGTCTTAGGCACATTCTCCTCCTTAATCTTCAACTAGTGGTAACCTGATCTAAGATTGATCTTACAGAAACATGTGCCCATGAGAGCTAATCAAATAAGTCATCAATATTGGGTAAAGGATATTTATTCTTCACCATCACCTTATGCAATTGCTTATAATCTACGCACAATCTTATGAATCCATTTTTCCTCTTCACAAATAACATCGGTACACCCCATGGTGGCACACTAGGGTGAATGATGTCCTTGTCCAACAAATCCATTAATTGGTCCTTGGGCTATCTAAGCTCTGTTGATGCCATTTGGAATGATGGAATAGATATTAGACTCGTATCTTGTACCAAGTCAATGCAAAACTCTATATCTCTATCTAAGGGTAATCTCAGCAACTCCTTGAGAAATACATCATGAGTTTTACTACAATTGGCACCTTAACAATCACATCACCCACTACCATATGGTTGTCCTTTACTATGTCCATAAATCCTTGACATCCATGACTAATCAACCTTTTAGCCTCCAAAGTTGAAACTATGCTATTTGATATCATACTACAATCCCTTTGAATGCTAAAAGGTGTCTTTCTCGAATAGTTAAAGCTTACCACCTTATAACAACACCACTTATTGCCAATTGATTTTAACATGGTCTCAAAGTCCAAGTTGATTGTATTCTTTTTACTTATTACCTTTTATAATTATAGCTTGAACGCTCAATTCATCATGTCTATGAAAGCAACTAGAACATTTGTAAGCCTAAATGACATAACCAAGAATTCATAGTGCTTGTACCTATTATGAAAGGCAGTCTTAGGCACATTCTCCACCCTAATCCTCAACTAATGGTAGCCTGATCTAAGATCAATCTTAGAGAAACATTGTGCCTCTTAGAGCTAATCAAATAAGTCATCAATGTGGGGTAAAGGATATTTATTCTTCAGCATCACTTTATGCAACTACATATAATCTATACACAACCTCATCGATCAATCTTTCTTCTTCACGAATATCATTGGTACACTCCATGGTGACACACTAAAGCAAATGATGCTCTTGTCCAACAAATCCTCTAACTAGTCCTTAGGCTCTCTAAGCTCTGTTGATGCCATTTGGTACGGTGGAATAGATATTGGACTCGTATCTTGTACCAAGTCAATGCAAAACTTTGTATCTCTATTTGGGGTAATCTTTGTAACTCTTCAAGAAATACATCAATGAATTCTCGTACAATTAGCACCTCAACCACATCACCCACTACCATTTGGATATCTTTTATTATTTCCAAAAATCCTTGGCATCCATGACTAATCAACCTCTTAGCCTCCAAGGTTGAAACTATACTATTTGATATCATACTACAATACCCTTGAATGCTAAAAGGTGTCTCTCCCAGATAGTTAAAGCTTACCACCTTATAGTGACACCATTTATTGCCAATTGATCTCAATCTTAAAGTCCAAGTTTATTGTATTCTTTTTACTTGTTACCTTTTATAAGTTTGTTTATGTGGTAAATCGCTTTGTTTCAATTTTTAGTACTAGACCTACACATGAAGAGAAAATGTTGTGTGGTGTTATCCCATATCCGATAAAGTTTTGGGTTCCTTATAGTTTTATATGCAAGTTGGGCCTCTCTAACTCTTGCCATTTGATTTTCTATTAGATGCTTAACAAGGTATGGGGCCTTGCCCCCATTTGTTTATCTCTCCACTTGTTACGCCTATAGGAAAAATCCATGCTATGTGATATATTGGTTGTCCATACATGTGGTGGGGATTATTAATTTGATGATAAAAGAAAATCCTAGATTAGTTAAGTTGAGGAATTTAGGTTGGATGCTTAAAAGGATATACTACATTGCCTCTATTCATTAGCCTTTTTATGATAGGCTTGTTATGCTTATGTGTAACATCCATGCCCCGTCATAGATTTGTTCTACCATATATGAAGGGGAGTATTATAGTAAGATAAAAGTAAATCTCATATCAATTAGCAATATTTTGGAATAAAGACCTCTTCACTTAATCTTGATTGACTTTAAGTGTTTAAAATTTAATGTAACGATAAAGATAGTTTCCAACAATCCATTAGCTGAGGGGTTAAATTATAGTGAGCTATCTAGCCTTCAAATTTTCTAGGTATAATGCTTAAATAAGTCCCTAATCTATTTTAAAAAATTCAAATAAGCCCTTATTCATTTATTACGTTCAATCAGCCGTTATACTTTTATTTTAGATCAAATAGGTCCAAATGACTAATGATTAACTAATTGTCACTAGTCAAAATACAACTTGTCATTTTCTATCCACATGACACTAATATGGTGTTAATGTAGAAGGTGAAAAATGACATATGGTCATATTATCATATCACATTATCATCAATTATGATATATTAGTATGCCACATCATTATCAATTATGATATGTTAGCATATCACATCAGCATTACACAACATAAAAGGCCAAATTACATTTTGACTAAGTCCATCATTAATTATAAGTGTTTATTTGACTCAAAATAAAAGTATAAGAGTTTATTTGATGTAAGAGAAAAATATAAGGGTTTAATTGAATGCAATAAAAATATAAAGACTTATTTGAATTTTCAGAAATAATTTAAAGACGTTTTTAGATATTATCTCATATTTCTAGAAAAATGAAAATGAAAATTCAGGTAAGTAAAGTTTAACTTGAGCAATTTGTGAATATGAACATGGGATGGAAGAAGAAGAACATGGGCGTGGCAACCAGGCAGCAAGCTGGTTTCCAACTTTAATAAATGAATCACCTTAATTGTGATGGCGGGTGAAGATGAATCAAGGAGACATGTTTATTCTCAACTCGATGGAGAGGTTCCTCTCACCTATCTAGCATAAAAGAATGTACGATTTTTTTCACAATCTTTCATTGGGCATTGATTCACGTTAAGGGAAAGTTATAGTGTGGAGAAAAACTTATTTTTTTATTTACTTTCTTTATTTATTTGTTGGGGGAGAGAGAGAGAGAGAGAGAAGCGTGACATAATGTATTAGACAAAGTGGTTAGAAGATTAGAAGGGAATATTTGGGATGATGAAAAGGAATAAGAAACTTACAAAGGTATGTGGAATTGGGGTTTAGGATTTTATAACTCTTTCTCTATGAAAGCAAACAAACAAACCTTTAGAGAGGGGCTCTCTTCCACACATTCAGGTCAATGGGTCCATCAATTTAATCAATATCTCTTGACAATTACACCCACCCATTTATTTCATTTATGAGAAATACTACCATCACCTACGGTTTCATTACTATCTCATGACAACCAGGTTGTGGACAGCAAGGCCTGATATCCATGTTGGATCCTGATCTGTCTTCATCTTATATAGTAAATCTCCCTACCTTTTTTTTGAATATTTTTTTCCATGTACTAGTAGGCCCAATAATTAGTTCATGACATTATTATGATTCTAGTACCTCTATTACATTGCTTAAGTATGAAGAAGAAAATACTTAAAAAGTTTGGCTCAATCATAAGGATGTGTATATCTCTGATGATTAACAAATGTATATATTTAAAATGTTCTACAACAGATATTTGGAAATGATCTCATATGGACCGACTAGTTACATTCAATAGAGAGGACAAATGGCACAAACAGTTTTCAGGTTAATTGCGGCATTTATCCTTTTCCTAGTAATGGAAAATACATGTGCATCAATATCCCATATTAAGAAAACCTAAATTAAGCAATTGGATTCTCCCGTATGTCGTTGGTATGGGGAAATAAACGTTTACATGCTTTAATACAAGTTCATCACTAGAAGTAAAACAAAGGATTAATTAATAATTGGAGCACTCGATGCTTAAAGATCATATATAGCCACTAGAAATAATGATGCAAAACAAAACCCAATGGAAGTATTATAAATATGAATATTCTGATGCAAACTTTAGGTAGTGAACAAAATTAAAATTAAAATTGAAAGCATCTATATATTCTGTATTAGCTGTAAGTTACTAGTGAAAGAAAGACAGCATGTGATTGTAGAAAAAATGAAGAGAATTTCTGAAGGAGAAATAGGATTGGTCAGTGGTGATATACGCAAACAACATTTGTGAAGGTATGCGAAGAGAGTGGGGGAAAAGGAATTTATACAGCAGTTGCTCTTTCTCTCTCCTGTAAAATTTAACCCGTCGTCTTCGGAGGAGGAAAACAATTACTAGCAACTTGTTTTTTTTTTTTTTCTTTTTCTTTTGGCTTTTAAAAATTGGGCTATGGCCACAGCATTTTATGCTGTTTTTGCGTGTATTGACTATTGAGAAAAGGAGAGCTGAGTGAGAGAGAGACAGAGGCTTTGTTGAAGTGTCATTTTCCTATATATACTCTCGAGGTAGAAGGAAAAACGCAGTCTCAAAGTCTATCTTTCTCTTCCCTTCCCAAATTCCCAATCCTTTACATATTATTCTATTATCATTGCAACACCACACATCTCTCCCTCTCTCTCTCTCTCCCAGGATGTCTGTTCTTTGAACTTGAAGAGTAGAAAAAGCATCTCTTTTTTCATTTAGCCCTCTTTACAGCACTTTTCTTCTCTTTTTTCCCTCCCTTTGCCCACTTTTTCTCAGCTTACTAAAGGGTTTTCTGTCCTAGCCGCTCATCTGCACCAGAAAATCTGTGTTTTTCTCGACTTAGATTCTCTGTTTATTTGAGAGCGTTTCGTTCAGTTGGTTGTGAACCAGGGGCAGGCACATCTTGGAAACCCTTTTCTTGAGAATAAAAATGTCCCATAAAGGGGGTTTCAGCAAACAGTCTTTGAATCGGATTCCTGATCTTTCACTGCACATTAGCCCGCCAAACAGTGCTCCTTCCTCAATTTGCACTGACACTAACGAAGGGGATTCTTCCTTTGATATTTGGCGCAAAGACGATGGCCTCAAATCACACAGTGATAGTTCCATAAAAGCCGGCTCGCAAGCGGACACCGAGCTTTCTTTAGCAAATCCTGCAAGCAGTGCCTTAGAGGCTGAGAGCCCTTGGCAAAGAAACTTTGCGGGGGGAGTCACCGATGATGATCAAATAAGGCATAGAAACCTTCTCAAGTGTGGTAATACTAACAGTGGCCAACCAAGTAATATAAACCATGGAATTTCGTTACTTGATGTTTCAGGACTGAAGCCCATCAAGGGAATTCCAGTATACAATAATTCCTTGTCGTTCCCGTTTTCGAGCTCCGATAGTTTCGTAGATATGGATCCTAATAAGTTGCGCTTTTATCATCAGTCTTGCCCTTCTTATAATTGCTCTTCCTCAACTTCTGCTGTGTTGCACTCACCCGATGCTTATAGAATAGGCAGTGCGCCTAGGTTTAATGGGATTTCAATGGAAACGCTAAGGCCCCAGTTTCATCATCAGTACTCCCAATATGGAGCTGCAGACTTGTGTAATGGCATGATTAGATCGAGATTTATGCCTAAACTACAAAGCAAGAGGACTATGAGGGCACCGAGAATGCGCTGGACCAGCTCTCTTCATGCTCGCTTTGTTCATGCTGTTGAGCTTCTCGGTGGTCATGAAAGTAAATATCTTTCGTTCTCTTCCTCATGTTTTCTTTCTTTTGTGTGATCTATCTAGGAATGATTCTGTTGATAAGTTGAATTCGGGTTTCATGAGCTATTTGGTGTTGTTTACTTTGATAGGAGCTACTCCCAAATCAGTTTTAGAGCTAATGGATGTCAAAGATCTAACCCTTGCTCATGTCAAAAGCCATTTACAGGTACGGCAAAGAATTGAAAGTTGAAACCCTCTTTTTTGTTAGTTTGTTTTTTGGGTTTTTGCCTTCCTCCCTCATTATTTCGGGCAAATTGAAAACAAGAAGAAGTAAGCACGGGTCGGCGCCTCATGAGGGTCTCTCAGTACGTGGGGGTGTGGTAAAAGACTACAGAGTTACTCCAAGGCAATTCCATCCATCGGGCACAAGGGCCGATGAGTGCAGTGAATGAATGAACAGTTGAGTCTGTTTTCTGATACAGGACAAGTTCAACTTTTGGAGAGAAAGGTTAAAGAGAGAGAGAGAGAAAAAGTAGCCATCATTTCTCAATAATACAAGCAATTACTGACCTTACCAAACATCAACCTCGTGGTTATTAAACAAACCAACAAAAATCCACAAAGAGAAGCATCCGATTTGATATTTTTGACTGGGATCTTATTTTATCTTTATCTCCCCCTGCTAATATAGTACTAATAAAGTAGAGCCCTTCTTCTTTCTTCTTTCCCTTCTTTTTTATTTTGTTTTTCAGCCCTTTTCCTGGCCTCTCTCTTGTTTTTAAATTCATTACATCTTTGTCTCCTTTCGCATTGCAGATGTATAGAACTGTTAAGAGCACTGACAAACCTGCAGCTTCCTCAGGTAATTCGCATTGTTTATCCCTCACCCTCAGCTCTTTATATATTAATTTACCGCTTCATTTTGACCAAACCAATTTAATTCGTTGATTGTTGTTACACATTTCAAACTTAAAAAGATTCTCTCCCTCTCTCACGCTCTTCTATGTTTTTACAACCCACCATTTCTTGCACTCATTCATATGCATATCTACGTATGTATATCTACCATTACATTATGTTGTTTATCCTTTAATATATTTATATGTATACATCTGCTCAGATGAAAGAGATAAATGGGTGTATTTGCTTGTGAACAAAACTTTAACTTATGACAGATGGATCTGGGGAAGATGATTATTTGCCTGCCAGAAATACAATCAGTCAGATTGCAAACTGTTCACTCAACCAGCGATCATCGGCAAGTCCAAATTTATCCATACAACAGGACAATGGCCACAGTCCCACTAATCTTTGGAGTAACTCTTCTAGGTAAGTCTCTCTCAATCTATTTACATTAACTTTTAATATCTGATTATTTTGTTTGCTCTTTATTAAAATATCAATAAATACATAGATATGCTGCGCTTGCTTTTCTCCGTAGTTGTTTTAGATTTATAGCTGGGTTGGATTGGTTTTGTCTTGTATGAGTGACTAGCTTTAGCTAATTAGCAAATAAAAAACTCCACCCCCCCGCCCCCAACAATCCCTTTTTTTTTTTAAATTAAGAAAACATACAATAAAATAAAAGGTGTTTCTTTATGACAGCTTTTGCTTTTGATAGCCTTTGATTCATCCCTTTTTTTTATTTTTTCTGCTTTATTTCTTCCGGATGACAAAATTTATCCCAAAGTGCTTACAATATTAACATAAATCTCTGTACCTTTGGCTTAAACGCAACACTTTCTCCATGCTCTTCTTATTATTGCAAAATAAGAAACTATATAATTTGAAGAGAAGAGAAAAGATCCTCAACCTTAAATGCTGAAAGCAGTGCACTGAAACTCATAGCGATAGCTTCAGCAACCCTAGCTGGCTACTTAGGTTTGGCAATGAGTGTAATTCCACAATTAATCAATAACTTGCCAGGAGTGTTTCAGCGTTCATTCTTTTCTTGACATAAATTACCATAACAAAACCCTTAGAATTTCAATGATTTATGTTTAACATTTCTCATGCAACTGCCACTCTTTGCAGTATATATATTTCAATGTGTAATTGCATCGAATGGATATATGTTACTGGCGAAGGCAACACTAACCCTTAGAATACTTTTTCCATTATGTGAAGTAGTAATTAAAATTATCCAGGGCACTGGCTGAATATAATATAATACATATATATATATATATGGACATAATGAAAATGTACGGATTCTACCAGCTGCACGTTAAAACCGGCGCCCAGCATTCAAGAGATAAGAACAACTTCCAATGCCTTTATATTAAATATTGTTTAATTCTAGCTTATATAATATTGTTTGCCATAATTTTATTACCTAAATATAAGTATATATTCAAAATTGGATTTGTTTAGTATTTTTTTTTCATTTTGATCTGCATCCAATATATAGCATTGAACTTTTTGTGACACTCGTAAATTACAAACCATTAATATTTTACTTGCGGAAAAGTCTGACCTGCAGTCCGTTTCTTTTGTATTTTTATATTATTATAATAATAACGGATTGACTTTGAGTCCTTTTTCTTTTTTCAATTTTACTTTATACTTAAAAGATCGGTGATAAAACCAATGAAATCTCATGCTTGAGTCTGATTATTGGGAAGAAGCAAACAAAAGATTGGCAAAACCAAACAAAAGTTTGACCATGATATCATATCTTTCGTTCGGAGTCTTTATGAAGTTTGCTAATTTAAATTCATAAATAAAAATTGTATGATGATCAAAAACAGATAAAGAAAAAAATCATACTTAAAAGAGCAAATTATTTATTCACTTAACTAAATTTTTAAAATTCTTTTTACTTTAGATTATTTAACTTTGAAAAATAGCTTTTTGATTATTAATGTCACATAAGTGATGCATTTTTAGTCACTCAAATATTAAACAGTGACGCTTTTCATGTAATCACTTTTGTGCTTGATAACCAAGTCTATGTCATCGTTCCATGACATCACTTTATGCTATGTCACAAATTCTATGTCATGAAATGATGATGTGGACTTAGTCACATAGCACAATTTGATGATGTAAAATATTAAAATAGGGGATTGTTAGTATTAAAAGGTTATGTGACCAAAAATGCATCACTTATGTAGCATTAGTGACTAAACAATTATCTCGTAAATAGTAAACTCTTGTTCCTTCCCTTATGAGTTCAACATTTCTCACATGATATCTTATAGTTTTTTTTTTTTTCTCAATTAGCACATTATGAATGAGAATTGTTCCCATAAGAGTTAGGTTGTTAACTTTTCCCAATATAATTACAAAAATATCACAAGTATGATCAAATAGGTTAACTTTTCAATTAAGAATATTTTGATTATTTTAATGGGTAAAATTAATGATATAACCTCTTTTTTAGAACGAAACTTATTCACAGAATACTAATTGAGAAAAAAAATTCCTAAGATGTTTTGTAGAAAAAGTTGAAACCAAAAGAGATTGAAGTGAAATTTACCACATAGAAAATTTAGAACACATAAGTGACTATGTATGTTTAAAAAATATTATGAATATCTATATATATACCATCTATTTAATAGTAATTAAGTTATTAGAAAATGTTTATTTTTTAAAAGATAAATTGATAGAGCATGATGAATAGATTAATAATGAAGTCAAAGGAAGAGTATAATGGTACAAAATCAATTTATTATAATAGGTTAACCCTCTTGGATGTCTACTTCTAACAAAATGCTTGGTCAAACTTTAGCATTATTTTTCTCCCTTCCCCCAAAATTAAAAAAAAATAAATAAAGGAGGGCATAGTTTCACTAATAATATGGCTTTAATTTGAAAAGAAGAATGAAAAAAAAAATGGAAAGGATAGAATAAATTGAGAGAAAAGAAGATATATCCTTACATGTGGACATTAAAATGATATTTTTTTCCTATGTAAAAAGAGAACATTGGATATTCTCATTAATTTTAATAATTAAATACACATACTTAATATTAAACACAACAAAGAAAAACTAAAGAAAGTATAGGTAAACTTGAAATTTGGATTCTTTTATATACTGACAGTGAAATTTTTAAATTTAAAAAATGAGATTAGAAGTTTGTCATATATTCATTTAATAATAAATTAATTTATTAATTATATAAATATATCTTAATAAGACATAGGTCAAACCTTCTAATCTCACTTGTAAAACTTAAAAACCTCAAAGTCATCGTATATATAGAATAAATTTTCCTTTGAAATATACCTGAGAATGGAGTGGAGGGAGGAGACTTTAAGCTCACCTCAAGACTCAAATCCGATGAAAATTTTCTTATAAGAAACGAAATCACCCACCCTTTTCATATCATACTATTTCTTTGTTTGTTTTTAATATGCATATCATTTTATTTTTAAGTAAAAAAAAATACCACTTTAATCAAACCATAGGACCAAAGGCTATATTCATTTTGCCATCTTCAAAGTCTAAGTAAATTGCATTATTAATTAGTCCTTAATTTATCATAATGTTACATTTTTATCCGTGATCTAAAAACTAGATTATTTTCATTTGCCACCTTTTGAATTTGTTTCAAATCTATTTATTCATCTAATATGCCATTAGAATTTGGATGGAATATGGATGAAATTTGCCATGTCACACATTCGTAGACATATACACATGACAAATTTCATCCAAAATTTAACCATACATGGATAGATAGATTAATTAAAAAGCCAGTGAATGAAAAAATAGAATATTTTAAGTCACAGGTAATAAATTATTACAAAAAAGGTTATGGATTGATGATGAAATTTACTCCTCAAAATCCAAATTGATGTATAAGCTACTCAAAAACTTACCCTTCACTCTATGTAATTGAGGTCACTAATGCATTTGGCTTCCTTGGATCACAAAATCATCATCCCATAACTTCTTTTAGTCATTTTTTATGTCAATTAGCTCCATAAAAGTTTTAATTTTGAAAATAGAAAAGCTATAATCTAGATATTTAATGGTCATTCGGTTGAAATATCATGCTTTAATTCCTAACAAATTTGGTCAAATTTGTTAAACCAAAATGAATTAATTAAATAGAAACTTTTTTTTAAGGTACACATAGAAGCCTATAAGGCTTGACCTACATAGAAAAGGGGTAAACCTCTCTTCCATCCTTTGTAGTCTTCCCTCCGCCCCTTACCCAAGATTTTATCTAATAAATGGTGTGTTCCTTTGGAGATATTAAATGTAATTGTAGGCATTTTTTCACTTTTGGAATATACATTATACCAAATTTGTCATGTTTCTGAATTGAGAAATTTGAACTCTCATTTTTTTTTATAAAATATAAAATCCTTGTAAATAACCTACATCTCTTTCTGCCCTCCAAGTCAAGAAGCATTGGTTGTGACCAAGCGGGGCATGAATGGCACTCCCATTCTCCACAGATGGGTAGCCGAATAAATTTTGTTGATTTCAAACAAGCTGGGGTGGGTCTACCTTAGCCTCCATGACTAGGTGGCTATTAAAAAAAAAAAAAAAAGACGAACATCTCTTTCTAAAAAATGCATTAAAAATCTATACAGTATATATTTGATTTTCAATACTATACCAAACCATTTTAAAAGTGTGAATTCAATACTTTAAATTTTTAAAACTACAAAAATTAAAATATTTAACGTTTCAACATTGAATTTTCTGGAATATGAAATGATACCGTAATTTTGGTAAACAAACAATAAAGAGTTTGATATGTTAGTTATTTAGGATTTTATTATTTTATCTTTAGTACGATAATTATTTTGAGCAATTGTAATTATTTTTATGTTAATAGAAGTTATTTTGAGTTTGAATTGTTAGGATCATATCCCCTCCATTAATTACTTTTTATTCCATTCCTTTTAAACAGCCGTCGTTAATGTATACATATGGGTTAAAATTATGAGTATATTTAAAAGTAATGAAATGAAAATACAAAAGGGATCTCAACCTTGAGTTGTTTGAACTTGAAAGGGGATTTAGTATGTATTTTTGGGATTATTATTCCACATATTTACTGTAGAGTTTTTTAACTTCAAGTAGGATTATTATTAATTTTTTAAAAGTATTTTAATAGGATTCATGACAATTTTTAAATCTCATTTTTAAAGTTTAAAAATTCTAAATAATTCTTTTCATATATTTATTGGTAAGTGTTAAACAAAAGGGGGAAAACAACAGACAAAGGCCAGATATGCAACATCTTAGAACAAAAGATCCAAAAATAAGCTTGTCCGCTAAAGATGGGTGATTTTGGAAGGGGAATATCCATTAAAGAAGAGGCGAAACAGGTGCTATATAGAGGCAATAATTTTATTAGTATGGATTAAACATGCATTTCAGACAATATCCAAAAGTCCAAAGTGGGAGACTGTTGTTGCATTGGACAGGGAGAAAAAAGTGCTGCCGCTGTAAAAGCCGACTGTAGGCAGTACTATTTTGCGTAGTTGAACGCTTTTTGGACCTTGGCATAGAATTTGATAATGTTCGTTTGTTTATTTAGGTTGGTGTTACATACTTTAACCTTCTTATGGTTTTGGTTAAACGTGAAGATCATAGCCGATTTATTTTTCCTTTGTCTGGGGGCAATTCCTGATCATCTTGTTCTAGCACAACTTTCTCCGAAGGTTATACATATAGGCAGTTTTCATTTTCCTGAATTTAATATTATTATTATTTTAATCTAAAAAGAATTAAAGAAAACCACTTTGATATTCCCATTATTGAGACTTGTAGCAATTTTCTTAATTTGTTCCTTACAAAATTTAATTATCTGCATTTTGTGGGGGTGACGTGGATAGTTAGCCTAAATCAAGTTGATTTTACACTGCTAGATGCTAGAGTGTATACCATAACTAGTACTTTCTTGCTGTTATCTTTTTGGGTTTTTGTTTTTCATGGTTCTAACAACGAATGCATACAAAATATGTTAGAAATTCCTTTTCCTTTGTCTCTAGTTGTTGGCTTTGTTAACTTATTAGCATATATACAGATTATAGATGCAAATTAACTTGAATTGACATTGTAGCAGGAAATAAAGATGCTTATATATATTTCATTCTTTGCTATTCTTAATAGATCAAAATTCTCTGTAAAAGGAGAAGTTGGGATTTGCTAGGTCTCAAGTTTTGGTAGTTTGTTGCTCTAGCCTCTTAGTTTTGTTTGAAGCAGATGCCTGCTCTCTGTGAGCTAGTCAATTTTGTTTTGGCGCTTTATATTGTTCACAAAGATAGAGAGTTGCTAGTATTCCTGTGGGGGCGTTGGAGTTAAACCCTACACTTGTTTTTAGTGGATACATGGTGTCCTCTCATGTCTGTTGCTGGTCCAGTACTCCAGAGTCCAGACGCATCTGACTGCATCCATGACTTCTGCCAGTGGATAGATTTTTATTCATTAATGAATCTCATTACCAGCACATTTCAAAAAAAAAAAAAAGTAGAAATACATATTGTGGATGACAATAGATCAGTACAGGGTGGTAACGGGCCCTGCACTGCACTTGCTACAAAGTTACAAAATGAATCAGCCATGTATGTGGTTGATTGAACTTGAACCTCATTTTAGGCTACTTCAGGAGCTAAATTATATTGAACACTGTTTCTCACAAAAATAATAGTTGACGTTGACTTCAGGTCCATGAACGACAAGCCATCAAACTGCTACTGGGGACTTCCCTATCAGAAATTTCTTTACCATTATCTTAGTTCGCTTATAAAAGGACAACCTCTGATAACTGACGTTGAGATAAAGCAACAATTTCTCCCATCTATGTGGCTAAACTGTCTGTTGCTCTTCATTTAATCCAGTCTAGAAATTTTGATTGAATGCACTTCTTTCAACCCAATTTTGTAGGTTATTGATTGAAAATATGCAGTTAACTTCAGTGAAAAGTGAACTGATTACATTATGAATTTTGGTGCAGTAGAGGAGTTTGGCTGTCGAGTTCAAGGAATCCAGATGGGTTTAGACCGGATGCTCCATCATCTCAACCTGGAAACCAGTTTGAGGTATGTGAGTGAGATCAAAAGCTTCCCAACCAAATTAATCAAACATTTCATTATCAGTTTCAGCCTCATATCTCTGCATGGAACGCTGTGTCGAACTTCTAGGTTAACTAGGCAGGTCCGAAAGATTGCTGATTATCAGTATAGATTATTTGTTCAGACCAAAAGGAAAGAAAGAAAAACCATGAACGTGTTACTCGGATATCAAAGTTGCGAGCAATGTTCTTTGCATGAATGATACACTTTAATACATTAAGAAAGAGAAATGAGATAATGCTAGTTTTACTTGAAAAGGTCATTCTCCCATCTCTCTCCTACTTCATCCTAGCAGTTAAGAAGGGGTCGGCCATGCAGGTATTAAGAAATAGGAGCGAAACATATCGTTGTCCGAAACATAAATATATTGAATTCTGCAACGTTTTGAAAGGGACTATGTAATTGTCCTGTCATTTCAAAATAAATGCATGGATCCTTTATTCTGCTTCTTAGTCTGAAAAATACCATTAATAAATTTTCTACAACTATGCAGGAAAGCAGTTTTGCTAAACAAAAAATCCTTACGGAGTCAAGCCTAGAGCTCCATAATCCAAGCTTGGACTTCAGCTTAGGAAGACCAGACTGGCAGAGTAAAGAACGTGACTCATGAATAAAAGCTTAATGGATAAGCAAATTAAGAGAGGGAGAAGAGTTTCATGAAAGGGGGGGGAATATAATATTTTAAGGAAAGAGCTAGGTATATAGAGAGAGAGAGATGGAGGTCTTAAGACATCTTTCTCATGAAAGTTTCAAGCACGTCTGTATATTCTTTTTATTTTGAGGGGTAGCTAAAGTAGCTGATCTTGTTCTTGGTGAGGTGATGTTAGTCATTAGATGCATGCCATGAAAGAAGCAAAAAAGCAGAAGAAAAGAAAGGAATCAGTTTTAATGGTGCATTACAATATTTCTTATATTCTCCCTTTTTTATTTTTGCTTTATATATGTTTTTCAGCTATCAAAGATCCTTTTCCGTTGTCTCTTCAGGCTTTAGTGGGGTCATTCGAGTGATTAGGGTGTGAAAGCTTGACTTTAATATCTCTTTATGTCATTTATTCATTTATGATTTGAAAGTTTGATATGCAATTGCAGCCTATAGAAAAGCTAAAGAAAAGCAGTGGCTGTAAAGACATGGAGAATATATTGGACTTACTCTTTGATCACATGCAAATCACATCTGCATCCATGCATAAAGAGCTGCCCTTTTAATCGTCGATGGCATCTCTAATTGGCCATTAACACATCATCCCCTTTCCAAGTTGCTTAGGGTCCCGATTAAAATTGTGTTGGGATTGCGGGGTGCATTCTGTCCCACTCCCACCTTATCCTTTTTGAGATCTATTTAAAGATGGCGATAACAATTTTATATCTAGGGACGAACTAGGTGATCTGCTTTTCATCCGAGCATGGAGAAATTCAAAAGTAAATTATTTGGTCATAAGGTGTGAGTCTGAAAATTTGACCATTCCAGGTCAAATATGAATTGTAACTAATGTTATTTGGTCTAAATGTGATTGATTTTCTAATCAAAATTATCATTTTTAATAAAATTTTATACTTGACTTAAAATCATTAAAATGATAGATTCCAATTTACAAAATAGATGAAAGTTCGAAATTACGGTTGCCTGCGGAGAAGGCATTAGCAAACCAAGATACCTGTTTTAAAGAGTGATACCAATTAATCATGTATAATTTATTTTTATCCTTGACAAATAAGTCTTGACTCCATATTTAATTTTATTTCATTTCATTATTTTTATTCCTTTCTATTTTAGTTTCCTTTCTTCATTTGGATTATTGGACACTAACAACCCTTCATTCAAATATGCTTTGATATATTCAGATGGTAATGCTCAATCTTTGGACAAGAACATGGATTTTGAAGATGGGTCAGGGGAGGAGACTAGTAATTTTAATATCAATGATTTGGAAAGTTCTAAGAATAATCTGAACAAATCAGATGATGTTTTATTTGGCATGATTGATGGTATTTAGTTAATCAATATATTGGAGCGAAAATGGGAAGAACTAGATGGCAAAAATATGTGATTGCAAGACTTCTAAGGCATACCATCGCATACAAAATTTTGTGCAAAAAACTAGCAATTTTATGGATATCGAAAGAAAACTATAGTGTGGTAGATCTTGATGACGAGAATTTTCTAGTAAAATTTGTAGAGGAAGAAGATTATCTTAATGCACTTCTTGAAGGCCCTTGGGTATATAGGGTCATTACTTAATAGTGAATCATTAGACTTCATCTTTTTCCCAAGGGACTCAAGATATAAAGGTTTTGGCTGTGTAGGTTTGTTTCCTTGGCATGCCTCTGCATCTATATCATAAATCTATCTTGAGACAAGTTGCATCTCTTCTTGGGTGTTTACTTAAGATTGAATACAATACATGGAAAGAGAAATGTGAGAAATTTGTTTGTATAGAAATTGAACTTGATCTTTCTAAACAACTTTTACCCAAGTCTTATTTTTCAATGGCCAACCACAACGAATTGAATATAAGGGGCTTCCACGTGTTTGCTTCTCATGTGGAATTTATTGGCATATAAAAGAAGTTTGCACCAGTAAACCTTTAGCACCAACTGAAGCTAAAAGTGGAGAAAGAACAAATAGTAGTGCCACCATCGAAAGAATCACCATTTAGACCATGGATGCTAGTTATTCGCACGAAACTGCATAAAGGGAAAACCAAACAAGCATTAATTGGAATTCAAATTTTTGAAGCAATCTTGCTAAGGATCTCGATATACAATTTCACTGGATGAAAATGGAGCTAAAACTAAGACTATAGGAAAAGTTAACTTAGTTGGAAAATCTTCCTTCCATGTAGAAAATCCTACCTAGACCAATCATAAAGACACTAGAAAAGAGACTAATCTTAATTAGCATAGGAAATGTTGCCAATTTGGAATGTCTCACGTAAAACAAGGTTTTTTTGTTGACAAAGATAAACAAGTGGGAAATGCCTTTAAAGGCTCTAGTGGTGGAATTATAAATAGACCAATAGATGGTTCTTGATCGGCCATGGAGTCTAAAGCTAAAGAAAAAGGAATTTACTTGGACATGGGGTGAAATAATGAATTAGATCTTAAACCCATTCAAAATAAAGTCTCTAAGGAGGTAAGTATTGGAATTATTGAAAAGTTGAGTGAGCCATTTCCTTAAAAGTCAAACAATAATAAAATATGAATTGTATTTGAACCCATGCAACTCATGCAAGGTTAAGATGTTTTGTGACAAACAATAACATTAATCTCTTTGAAACATTTTGCAATCAACATAAATGACCCTCTGAACGTGAAACCTATAACTTCTTTGATTTTTGATATGGCCTAAATGTGTGTTGGTTATCAATTAAAATTCTACTACGCAAGTATATGTATCGAATAAATAGTATATAAGTAAGTAAATTATCGATACCATAGAGAATTGAATTTGATTGTTTGGATAAGATTAAATTATTTTAATTTTAGTACTTAGTAAAATTTATACTAAAATGAAAAATCAAAGTAACAAGATAATTGGGCATAAATCAAATCAAACAAGACTAGGATTACAATATCCCTCACACTTCATTTAAATCTTAATTCTCTTCCTTAACTTATTTCAAT